CGTCTCAAGAAGCCCCCAAGACCGCCCCGAGACCGCCCAGGAGGCCCCCAAGGCGGCCCCAAGGCGGCCCAGGAGAACCCCAATACGACCATAGAAACGGCCAAGACGCCCCAAAAGAGCCCCGAGGCAACCCCCAAAGGACCAGAAATTCTTCACGCTCCGCGTGTCCCCACCAGCCAGCGCTCTTCTTAGCGGCAGTGAGGTTCGCCTGCTGCCTGTCTTTGCTGCTCGTTCTTTTGTCCTTGCTTGCGTCTCTTTTCGCCCCTTCTTCTTCCTGTGCGCAGATTTAGGCCGTTGCCCGTGTGCTTCGCTCCTGGACGCCGCCCGACCTCTTTCGCCGCGGTCGCGACCAAAAGAGTCCCTACCAGCCCATCCCAAAACAGCACATTTTGCGACGCACGCCGACGGTCGTGACCTCCGGGCGTGTCTCTTCCTGCTCTCGCATATCTCCTCCTCTTCCGCCCACCTCCTACCTACTTTCTGTGATACATTCTTGTTGGGGCGGTGGGGGGGGTCGAGGCGGAGCAGGAGGGAGAGACGGCGGTGTGCGGAGAGATGAGGATAGCGACGAGGAGGAGGACGAGGAGGAATTGGAGGAGGACGAGGCGGAGGAGGAGGGGGAAGAAAGGCGGTGGGAGGAGAGGAACAACAACTACGACGACGACGACGATGACCACGACAACGATGTCGCCTCCGACGACGACGAAGACGAAGACGAAGACGACGACGACGAGGTCAACCATGAAGGTGTTTCTGGGTTTGTCGCTCCTGGGGGCTATGTTGCAGGTCCCTGGGCCCTTTTGGGGTCCTCGTGGTGCCTCTTGGGGCACCCTAGTGGCTCTTTGGGGGGTCTCGGGGCCCTCTTGGGGCTCTTTGGGGGGGTCTGGGAGGTCCCTTGGGGCCATCTTGGAGGCCACGGCTCAAAAAGGAGTGCGGCGTCAATTTCGGCACCCCCTTCGGAAGCCGAACGGTCGCCTCTTGGGGCCCTCTTAGGCCGCTCTTGGGGCGGTCTTGGGCGCTCTTGGGCTCGTCTTGGGCCTGCCTGGGGCCTGTCTTGGGGCACTCTTGGGCTATCTTCGGGCCATCTTGAAGCCTCAAGAGTCCATTGAAAGGGAAAAGGCGAGAAGGCACAACACATTGATTTTCCTTAGGCTGTTGAAGGATTTTGGTCTCTCGGGGGCGTTATTGGGAGGCTCCGTGGCCACTTGGGGCCGTCTTGGGGCGGTCTTGGAGCCTCGTGTTTGTTCAAAGCTATCTTGAGTCATCGAGGGCCATCTTGAGCGATCGTGGAGGTCATCTTGAGATCTCGTGGGCTGTCTTGGCGCCATCTTTGGCCAACACAGACGCTTCAACGACCCGCGGCCCCCCGCCCTTCAGGCCCAGGGGGAGGGGGTAGGGGGAGGGGTCAAGCTACCCCATCCCCGCCCGCAAGCCGTCTCGCTCACTCCCACCCGCCCTCCCAACACATACGTAGCACCCGAGTCTGGCCCGAGCCTGAGCATATTCAGCAGTCGTCTTTGGATGGGGAGCTACTGGGGGCCAATCCGCCGCCGCCGCCGCCGCCGCCGCCCCCCGCTGCCAAACCGCCGCCGCAGCCGCTGCCGCCACCGCCGCCGCCCCCGCCGCCGCCGCCGCCGCCGCCGCCGCCGCCGCCGCAGCCGCCACAGCCGCCGCCGCCGCCAAGTGTATTCTGTATTGTTTTTTGACAGGGATGGTGGGGGGCCGCATCGGGTTGGCTGCGCATGTTCCGAATTTGGAGGCAGAGTGTGTTGTGTATCGTTTTTTTACAAGGGATGGTGGGGGGGTGTTGTCATGGACTCGGGTTAGCCCCCAGTCGCCTGGGGGAGGGGGTGTTTATTAATAGGGAGCAGTGATCAAGACCCCCTCCCCGCCCGCAAGCCGTCTCGCTCACTCCCACCTGCCCTCCCAACACATACGTAGCACCCGAGTCTGGCCCGAGCCTGAGCATATTCAGCAGTCGTCTTTGGATGGGGAGCTACTGGGGGCCAATCCGCCGCCGCCGCCGCCGCCGCCGCCGCCCCCCGCCGCCGCCGCCTCTCCGCACGCAAGCCGTCTAGCTCACTCCCACCCGCCCTCCCACCACATAAGTGGCATCCGAGTCTCGGCATAGCCAGGCGTTGCCACTGGATGGACAGCCGCTGGGAACCAAAGCAGACGCCAAGTGCGCGACGTTCGCCGCGGGCTCCACACCTCCGGTTCGCATGGTCCAGATGCTGATGTGGGTGGGCGTCAGCATTGTTCTGGGCCTGCACACAGCAAGCATCATCATGCGGGCACCACCGCCGTTCCTGTCAAACAAACAATACAACGTTATCGCGGGTGGCCAGCACAATACCCACGATGTTGTCGCAACGTGCATTTCGCATTGTTTTTGATACGGATGGTGGTCATGGCCAAAACGGCTTCACTAAGGGTGCCCCGCCATCCCTGTCAAAAATCCATACAACGTGCTCACAGGGCGCCAGCGTACTGTCCAGATTTTGCTGCAATGTGCACTTCGTATTGTTTGTTGATAGAGATTGTGGAGGGTGTTGGCAGGGTGGGCCCCGCAATGTGCATGTTGTATTGTTTTTGACAGGGATGGTGGGGGGGGTGCTCGCATGGTTCCGGGTTGGCTGCTGGCCAGGTGGTGGAGAGGTGTTTATTAATAGGGAACATTGATAACCCTTTCCCGACGGGGAAGAAGGGGGTGGAACAGATCTGGCTCTCTAAACCACCTCTGCCCAGAGGGCTGGTGAGGCTAAACACACATGTCAAACAAACCGCTTCCTCGTCAAGGACGGCGTTGCGTCAAATGTGTCTTAGACTGTTGCCGCTCTGGGGCCGCTAATTATGGGAACTCCCTTGGCGCCCCTTTGGGCTCCCCAGGCTGTCCTCTAGAGCTCTCTCGGGGGCCTGTGGGATTTTCAGGAGAGCCTCAGGAGGCCTCTGGAGGCCCTGGAGGCACGACAGATCTCCAGAGATAACTCGGAGGTCCGCGCGGATTTCTCGGATCCGCGCTGGGGCCCCCCCCGGCGGCGCCTCCGGCGCCGCCCCTGGCGAGCTCCGCGCGCCAAAGAGGGGGGCCGGCCCAGCGCGGATCCGAGAAATCCGCGCGGACCTCCGAGAGTCTTCTATGTTTGTGCAATTTGTTTTGCTCCCCTGAGAGTCCCGGGGCCCCCGGAGGCCCTGGAAGAGCAGCACACGCCCCAGAGCGTGCAATGCAATCGTCCGATCACGTCCGCAGACGACGACGACGACGACGACCACGACGTTCACCACGAATATTGTGACGACCACCGCGAGCATCGTCGCGGCGGCGGCAGGGGCGTGCCGGCCTGGAGCCTCTGGGGCCCTCCGTCGGCCACCGTGGCAATCGTAAGCCGGGCGTTTCTTCTTGAAGAAGGAATATTCAAAAATAGTTACACAATCGCATGGGGACATGTTTGTTTAGTATTTTGAGCTATTTTGGACTATAAAGGATTATTCTTGAGCTTTTATATCTATATGTATAGGACCATGTTTTATTTTTCGTCCAAAATCCGCCTGCAGGAGAACACCCGACCTGATGGCAGCCACGTCACTTGCGCAGTCTGGGGAAACAACGTCGACGTCGCACGGCGCCGCGACCGCCCACCGAACCCGAAATTATCCCACAGAAGGCCCAGCACCTCCACGCGCCAAGGGCGGCCCTTGCCTGGGAAACCTCTCCATGGGTACAGTGGAGGCCCATGCCAAGAAACACCCTGCTCGCCTCCAGGGTGCCCTTGGTTTCTTGGGTTTCGATGGTTCTGCTATGGAAAGCGTGACGTTCCCACACCAAACATCAATGAACGTCCTGGGGTCTCACGGTTGGGTTTCTTGTGGAAGGTTTCTTGTCGTCGGGCCCCCTCTGTATCTTGGGGTTCGTGGATTAGCGCAAGGTCTATGGACAACGACTGCGCCGTTTGCTAGAACCTGTGGTTCTAGTATATATGGATACACCAGAAAACAGATGTGCGTATGCACGATGCTGGGCCACGGGGTCGGCCCAGCGAGGATCGGTGAGGTACATTGCTGAGGTCCCCCAATCCATTCCTCGTCCCTCAATCCATTCCTCTGTCACCCCCTTCTCCTTCCTCGTCTGTCCTTCTCCTCGTCCTCTTCCATTCCTTTCCCTTGAAACTAATTCCTCCCTGTCGCACCCCGAGGCCAGGCGGAAGGGCGGGCCGGGCATTTCGTCTGAGATGTTGTTGCTATCTCTGATCCTGAAGTTTACAAAATTGACAACAGTCTCACGGATGGAGGGCGTGCGGTCTTCAACATGTGGTTCTTGCCGTAGCGCCGCGCACGATCGTTGTAACACATTGCACGAGCTTATCTTTTTGATGGCGGGTAGTTTTCAACAGCTTGTTTTCGCCTTAGCGCCGCTGGCATATTGTGCTTTTTAGTAATAAATTTGTAAGAGCTTCACGGACTGAGGGCGGGTGGTTTTCTTAATGTGGCTCTCGCTTTAGCGCCGCGCACATTTGTTCAACGAGAATTGAAAGAGTTCCACGGGTTCCCATGTTTAGCAAAGCAGAAATTATTGTTTCGAGCGATTCAGGGCAGTCAGGGCGCAACGGTTGTTTTGATTCGCGGTGTGGAAGTCCCAGGAATTGCGTTCTGGCACGATTAGGGATCGTCAATATTTAGCAGTCAAGTTGATTCGAGGCGTTGAAGTCCGAGCATGGTAATTTGGTGCCCTTCAGGATCTTCAAACGGTTGTCTCCCAACGGTGCACTTCCCTGAGTTGGTATGAGCCTTCTGGGTGCCCATGATAACTCACACCTGGAGGAAGGGGCTATCCCAACATCGTTGATGAGTCTTGTTTTTGCGCTGGTCGTCCTCCGCCTCCGCCTCCTCCCTCTTCACTTTCGCCACACCCTGGGCAGCACCGCCGTTTGGGGTGTTCACTTCATGTGCAAGAGTTCCGTGAACAACCACATTCGGGCGGTTGGAGAAGGCCCCGCCGTTGACCCATGGACTCTTCCCTTGGTCACGGTGCCGCTTTTGTGTGCCAGCCGGTCGAGCCGCTGTCTGGCTTTGTACAGTCACCATTGTGCTTAAGTCGGGCATGTCCCTCTACAGGAGGAGTATTCGAGAATAGTCAACAGAACAGTATTCGAGAATAGTCAACAGAACAGTACGGGGACGATCTTCGACTACTTTTGACTATGTCTGATCATTCTTTGACTATTTTTCAGTTTGTTTCCAAGATCCGCCTGTAGGAGGACATGCCCGACCTAATACTGTGATGGTGATCGTGGCTGCGGAGGACGGTGTCGCTCGGTGCCCTTGTGCCGCAGGGGGGGGCCCCGCCAGAAGCCACAGGACCTCTCGGGGTGGGGGCACCCTGGCCCTCCCAGGGGCACGGGGGTGTCCCCTGGGGAGCTGGGGTCGGAGGGAGCGCGAGAGAGTAAGGGAGGCAGGGAAGAGGGACGGGGACATGGAGAGAGCGAGAGAGAGAGAGAGAGAGAACAACAAAAAAAGAAGATAACAAAACAGGCAGAGAGAGAGAGAGAGACAGAGACAACAAACGGCAAAACAGAAAGAGATAGAGAGAGAGAGAGTGAGTGGTGCTCTGGCAGAGGAGGAGCAGGGGGATGCACGAGGAGGGAGGGGATGCTGCGGAACAAGGGACAACGGCATCGGAGGCCAGGTTCTGTCTGGGCAGGTGCCGCACTCTTTTTATGAATGGCGCCGCGTTCCAAGCTCCTGTAAGCACAAAGCTTGCGGGTCTCGAGACGTCTCGAACGGTCGTTTCAGCAGCAGTACTGATCTCCCCAATCTTCTCCAGGTTTGGCAGCGACGGCGTGGTCGGCATTTTTTCGTAGGAGCAGAGAAGACGAGGCAGAGATGCAGTACCGCGGTCAATGTACGATGCTCAGGATTAGGAGGAGGGTCAGTAGAAGGAGGAGAGGAGAGGGGTCAGGGAAAGGAACCGAGCAAGCAGGAAATGATGTATTGGAGGGAGGTATCCAAAGAGTGAGGGTGTTTGAAGAGAAGCGGCTACGGTCGGGCCGGGGTATAAGATAGAGGTCGGTTCGGGGAGGGCACCCTAGTGTTCTCTGTTTTTGTTGGATGTTCTTGTGCATCCTGGGGGAGGGCGTTCTTGAGTGTCCTTCGGTTTGGCTGGCGGAGGGTCTCGTGTTCTTGGAGGATGTTCTTATGTCCTGGCTCCGACCGTACGTGATGTATTCCACTTTGACGAGTCAGCCGAAGCTCACGACGTCGATGTGCCGCAGCTTTGTGCATGCGGCAGCCAGACCTTCATTTTAGCACTTGCGCGCTGGCGTTTAAATTTCAGGCAATCTTTCTACACTCGAGCAGTCGTGCGATATCCTCGAGGGCAAAGCGCTGGACGCGTGCCCCTGGCACCGCCAGCGTAGGACCGGGCCTTCGAAGGAAAAGGTTCGAAGGAAAAGAGGACGGCACGAGCATCGGGCCGAACGAAAAGGGGGACAGGGAAGCGGGGTCACGAATCTGCTGCACGCAGCTGGTTTCGGGCCCGCCGCCGGGCCCGTTCCCTGATGCATGGGCGCTTCCTGGCGCCAGGAATCAACTATCACCGGGCTCGTTCCACTACTCGCAAAGTGCCTACTCGCAAAACAAGATGTCTTCCTCCTTGTGTCGTGTACCGTGAATCCCCCGCGGCTGATCCAGACCATTTGCGAGTATAGTTACTTCGCGAGCAGTGGGCCGCGCTTGTCCAAACCAGCTGCGTGAGCTCTGCCCTGCCCTTGGCTATCCTGCCTTTCTCGTCCCCCTCGAGCGCACCCCGCGCGTGCTCTCTGGACCCGTCGCCGGCCCTGGCGCGGTCGGGCGCGCGAGCGAAATGGGGCTCAAGCGCCTGTCAAGGGAAAGCTCGAGCAGAAGATCGACTACAGAACTAACCGGCTCCAAGCTTGAACATGTTTCGTCGGATCTGCAACATGTACGTCGAACGTTTGCAGATCCCGCGAAAATTCGGCGCATTCTTCCACGGGCCCGACGAGCGTTTCAGTACTGGGGTAAAGTAGTTCTGTAGTCGATCCCCCACTCGAAAAGCTTCGCGGGCCTTCAGCCGGGGGCAACGCGAGGGGGGTATAGACTCAGGGGGGTATGCTTCGACCTCCAGTCGCCCAATGATCGCGGAGAGGGGCCCGATGGCCCGCCCCTCCCCCCAGGAGCTTTCGGATCTGCCATCGGGGGACCACCGCCGATCAATCGGCGATGTCTCGCCGATTCTGGCCCGATGCTCCCTCCACCGCCTGAGCCGTTCCCTCCCTCATCGGGCGGGGCTACGACAGGGATAAATCGTTCCAGAGCGTTCTGGAACGCTCCGAGAGCGTTCGGGAGCGCGCCACAAAGGCCGCGGCGCCCGACACACATCCTCAAAAACCGCTGGATTTCAGAGATCCGCGACGGCGCCCAGGGCTGTCGGGGGCCCCTTTGGGGCCCCTTGGTCTGTCCAATGGCCATTTTGGGCGTGTCGGAGCTATCTTGTTTGGTCAGTCTTGGCGGCCGCAGCGGCGTTGCCGCCTCCTCCTCCTCCTCCTCCTCCTCCTCCTCCTCCTCCTCCTCCTCCTCCCCCCCCTTCTCCTCCTCCTCCCCCTCCCCCTGGGCCGCCCCGGCACCCTTCCTCCTGCAGCGTGGGAGCGGCCCCGGGAGCTGCAGAGCAGCCCCCTTGCCCCCGCCCCCCCCCCCCCTGTTTCCCCCAGCGGAACCACCCAGGCCGCCCCCCCCCAGCAGGCAGCGGTGAAGCTCAGCGCCGGCTCCTCGGCGGACTGAACTTCTCGACGCTTGTACAAGTGGTGCATCCTTTGGCAGGGCCGTGCTTCCTCTTGGCAGGCGTTTCAGCGACATCGGCCCCTTCCTCTGGTAGGATTTGTCGCTCGCGGGCGCCAACGACGCCCTGCCCTTCTGCGATGTTCAGGTGGTGCACACCTGCCCGCAGTCCCCCCCAGGCGGGGCCTCTGAACGCTGGTGGGTAGTGCCGCCGTGGTCCCACGCTACGTCCCCCCCGTCCTTGGACGCATGGAAGTTGCCACTCGGGACACACGCCAAGACTACCGTCGCCTGGTTCAGTGACGGCCTGTCCTCGAGCACGTGGTGCTCTGTGAGTGAGGCTCCCTTTGCCCCCCTGTCCCGCTCCCGCCCCTCTCTTCCCCCTCCTTCCCCCCCCCCCTGTCGCCCTGCCCTTCGCCGCCCGGTCTGTCGGGTGCTGGCGCCACTGTGCGACGCCCCGCTGTCCGTCGTTGGCTCTCCTTGAATGTGCTCGGCACGCTTGCATGTGCGGTCGGCTGTCGGTAGTGACAGATGGGTTCGCAAATTATCTGGCGCGTCTTCCCGGCCGACGCTAAGATGCGTCTCCTCAAATTTGCTCTGCATGCTTGCATGTGCGATCGGCTGTCGACAGTGACGGCTGGGTTCGCAAATTATCTGGCTCTGTGCCCCAGTCAGCCCGATTGACACGCCCTCTGGACTCTTCCTTGCGGGCCGCATATCCAAAAAATAACCCCACCTGCTTGTGACCGCTTCCTGGGCGTTTCCTTGGAACCGCCGAACAAAAAAGTAACCCCACCAGCCACCGCGCATTTGCGTGTGCGCACCGCGCATTCTTTGCGAAATATCCCCGTACCGTGACCCGGACGCCGCTTCCGCTCCCTGTCCGTTGCTTCTGAGCCGCCGACCAAAACAAAAATACCCCCACCAGCCAGCCCATCCAGAAAAAATGCCCAGAGGAATTGCATCGATCAGAGAAGTGGGCAGCGCGCAGAGGAGGGGTGTATATCTATAGGGAACAGTGATAAACCCTTCCCCGACGGGGAAGAAAGAGGGGTGGAAGAGGAAACTCCCTAAACCACCGACGCCCGGAGGGCTGGTGGGATTGGGATGGCGAACAATTGTGTAGGAGAACGAAGAAGACATCACCCCAGTGCGACCCTACCTAGAAGTTGGAGCCCCTAGGAAAGCAGCATTCGTTGATATACTATGTTATGCTATGCTATGCCATGCTATGATGCGCTGTGATATGATATGTTATGTCATGTTATGCTGCGCGATGCTTTGCTATGCTATACAAAGCTAAGCTAGGTTATGTCATGATGCGCTGTGCTATACTATGGTAGGTTATGTTATGATATGATAAACTGCGCTATCTTATGATATACCATGCTATGCCATGATATGATATGATATGTTATCATCGGCTATGCTATGCTATGATATGATGCGATGTGCTCTGATATGCTGTGCTGTGCTGCGCTGTGCTATGCTATGATATGGTATGATTGGCTGCGCTGTGCCATGTTATGCAGGGCCATGCTATGATATGACGTGCTGCGCTGTGTTATGCTACGCTATGCGATGCCATGCTGTGTTACGTGATGCCAAAGCTCCGCGAAACTAAGATGAACGTAAGCTAAGCTAAAATAGACCTGAGCTATAATTAAACTAAGCTAAGCTGAGATGAAATAGGCAAAGCTAAGATGAGGTAAGCAACGCTAAGCTAAGGGGGCGTAGCTGGGGGAACCGCGGGGCGGATCCTGGGGGAACCGCCCGGGGCGAACCCCACTGCCCGGTCCCTTTAAGCATAGAGAGTAAGAGCCCTTCCAGGCAGAGCCTAGGTAGGGAATAAACATGACAAAATCGGAGGTCCGCGCGGATTTCTCGGATCCGCGCCAGGCCCCAGGGAGGGGGGTCCAGCGCGGATCCAAGAAATCTGCGCGGGCCTCCGAGTTGTCATGCTTATGCCATCTTTCGTTCCGCATAGTGTGTAAAATATTCGCGGAAGAGAACGAGCAAGCGGCGTGGAGAGCGAATCCCGAGACGGCGCCTCGCAAGAGGAAAGGAGAGGCGGCAGCGAAACCGTGTACGTGCGGCGTGCCAGGTTGTTGGACGACCTTTCTGGAGCACGTGTCGTTTGAACCAGAACTACGTGGAGAACCATCGGACGAAAACAGGAACAAGAGTGGCCTGCGGGGACCGTAGCAGGCGAGCCATCGCCGCGAAGAGAGGCGCCGATACGGCAAGGCGGGTTGGGAGAATTGACGCGCGCAGCGTGCAGCAATACATCTCCGCGGCAGAAGCACACTATTCGGCAGCAGGAGGGGGAACGCTTGACACTAGGGAAGTGAAGGTGGCTTGGGCATCTTGCAAGGACTCCCGGCTCACGGCGCGTAGTTGGCAAGCGTATGCGTGCACGGGCGCGTGTGGGAGAAGGTTCCCGAAAACGGCGTTTGCCAGAAGAGTCGTTTTCGCGAGTTTCCTCGAACACCCTGAACTGCAAGGCTTGAGGAGGAAGACGTCCGTCCGGGGGACCTCTGAGAGACGCATGTGCGACTGCTGCCGAACGGGCCGAAGACGAACGGTGATTGGGGAGGAGAGGACGAATATGATGAAGTGGAGGCAGAGGAAAAGGATGCAACTGACGGGGGGGAGTTATCCAGCGGCCATCGGCTCGACCCGCCACTGTGTCTTGGCTGCAAGGGAAGAGCCTTTGGGCTGCATATGTGGGTCTCGTGGGATGCTTCTCAGGAGCCTCTGGGAGGCCTCCTGGGGGGGCGTACGTGTTCCTCCACAAGCTTACTCGGGTTTTTGTTTTCCCCCCACCCGCTTCGCACCCGCGTTTCTCCTCGTCATCCCTCCTCTCTCTCTTTCTTTCTCTCTCCATTTTGTCGCCCGGACACTCATCAGGCATACGCACGCATGCATCACATAACATCATTACACACGCATCATACATACAGGCACGTCCACATAAAGCCGCACACACGTGGTACACATACAGCCGACGCAGACCAAGTCAATCACATGATACTCGTTCCGCATGACACATACGCGTAGGATTTGCAGGTCGCCCAACACATCCGCCTAGGGTTTTTAGGACGCCGCAGGCGTGGCACTTCCTCGACACGGTGCGATGGGCGTGGCTCACCTATCCGCTTCGGGCTCGCGAAGCTTGGTATGCCTGGCACTTCTGCCGACACCAGAAGGGGTGCGCAACGGGGTCGTCCCTGAGCGTAGCCTCTACGTGCACCAATGTCGAAAAAGACAGCAGGCTTGACTTTTCTCAACACCAGAACGGGGTACGCAGGGGGTGCTCGTTGAGCGCGGTCTCTATCCGTCACAGGCTCGCGGGGCGTGGCAGGAGTAGCAGTTCTTCGATACGGCAGTTGCGCGTGTCCAGAGTTCCGACCACTGCATTTGCGCAGCACCAGTCTCCCTTCCGCCGTTTTCCGCAGCCGCCAGCGCGCCTCCTCCGCCCTGATCGCTTTATTTCGGCACGGCACCAGTGC